AAGGTGGTGTGGCACTTGCACAAAAAGTTGCAAATAGAGATACCATTTGACCCAGCAATTCCACTCCTGGGAATATACCCCAAAAAGACCATAACTGACACCCAAGCAGATATATGCATACCCATGTTTACAGCGGCTTTGTTCACAACAGCAAGGAGTTGGAAACAACCTAAGTGCCCATCAACAAACGAATGGATAGAGAAGCTGTGGTATATTCACACAATGGAATACTACGCTGCATTGAAAAACAAGGAACTCATGCAATATTATTCAAAATGGGTGACCCTCGAGGACATTATGCTGAGTGAAATATCTCAGTCACAAAAGGACAAATACTGCATAGTTTCACTGTTGTAAAACAGGACTGACATCAGGGTTGGGGGAGACTGAGAAAGACGGGTTCAATAATGTGTACTGCATTGAAACAGATGAGGAATTGAACTGTTTTAAAAGGGATATATGATTAGGTATTATTGTCATGACAGGAGCCCAGAATGAAGGCCGCATAGTGGAGTGGAGGGGGGATTGTGTAACAATGAAAGAATTTTTCTTTTACATTTCAAAGAAAAGAGTGTACTGGGGGGGAGGGGGGCAGGGAGAAAAGTGCAACAATGAATGAATGGAAATCCAAAGTCTCTCTAAATTTTCACTGAAATTAATAATAAAAAAAATTTTTAAAGTGCAACCAGTCCAAATTAACAGGTTAGTAAAATGTGATTACCAATGTGTTGACTTAATGCTACGATGTCTGAAGCTTTGTCCCAGTGCTTCAAACACTAGCAAGGTCGCCCAGCCTGGGTAAACAGGTGGCAGCAGAGGCCCTAAAGCGAGACAGAGTAGGAAGAAAGGCTTAGCACTGGAGTAAGAGAAAACCTGTGGGCGACAAGAGAATATTGTCTGAGATGGTGCTGGAGGATGAGCCCTCTAAAGCGGAAGGCACTCAAAATACACACAGGGAGCTCCAGTGGCCTAGTGGTAAGAAGCTGTGCTGCAATCCTGAAGGCACACAGTTCTAATCCACAGCTGCTCCACTGGAGAAGGATGGACAATCTTCTCTCATGTGATTAACTGCCTCTACAAACTCGCCAAAGTGTCAGCTAAGCATTGGTTCTGACTCGACGGTACTCAACCAACCAATCAACCAACCACAGACGCAAAGGCTGCGGTGACGTACACCACCAACCAGGCTAACACTGTTTGTATGGCGTTGCCATGAGTCACCTGACTCCATAGCAACTAATAACTAAGAAAGAACTGATTAATAAGTGCAAGAAAACGAAAAGCAAAAACCCAAAACTTGCAAGAGATCTGGCTGCATCCTGCCTTGCCTTGTGGTGCATTTGGACTTGATTTGAGGACTTCCGCAATGAAAATAGTTTGAATGAAGTCACTGGCAGTAAAAAGTCACTGAAAGGTTCTGCCGAGTTCAGATCCACAAAGATAAGACAAAGCTGGGCTATCTTGAAATAGGAAATTCAATAATAATGGAAAACAAGTGGGAAAAAAAAATCAAACAACCCATGAGCTTCTTTGATTAAAGATTCAGCAGAGATTAGAAACTGGCTAAAGATTTAAAGCAAGCTTAGAAAAGGGCAATGAATAAAAACCAACACTTTAAAAACTTATGCCAGTGTTCATAACAGCAAAGCTAACAGGAGGCTGTTGGTTTGATAATAACAACAGCAGAAATAGTCTCAATTATAAAAATTTTAATTATGAAAATATTTTTAAAACATGGTTCTGTAACAAGTACAATGAAACTCTACTTTTACAAAATAGAATTTTTAAATGAAAAATGGTAAAGTCAGCTAAAACATTAAAAAAGATGGGCATATCAGCATTTAGGCTGCAAAAAGCAAATCAAGCCTTTTGCTTGAGAATAGAGTGGCAGGAGCATATACATTGGAATCCTAGCTTATTTAACATGCAGAGAACTCATGTCTGTTTAAGATCTTTTCAGCTCACACAAGATTGAGTGTACAAAGCTAAGGAGAGAAGCTGCATGAGTCAGGGGATCAGCCACAGTGGAATTATTCTGATTCTATTTCAATTGGATCAGTTTCATCAATATCTCCTAAGGTAAACATACAGACGAATAGAGGAACAGATGGACTGATTCAAGCTAACTGGGGGTTGGGTTTGGATTCTTATACTGCTGCAGAGGAGTCAGAATTCCGGCTAACATTTTATCACTTCACACGTCTTAGGACAATGCTGATTATCTAGTGGTTCTTAAACTGTTGATGTTTTCAAAAGTGCTGTGAGTCCCCTACAACTCTTAGTGACCCAATGAACAACAGATGGAAACCCTTCCCTGTGCTGTGCCCTCCTCAGGATCTGTACCAGTGAAAAGGCTACCTCAACCTGGGCTGGTTAACAGCGGGTGTTTCCAGGGCTTGGGCACTGAAGAGAAGGTGGAAATGTGTTCCTCAGTGGTGTCTTGGAGCTAGCAGACTGAGTCTCGGGGAGTCTTTAATGTTTACATCTCTATCTAGTACCCAGCCCAAGGAGTCCTGTAGCACAGTGGTTGAGTACTTGGTTACTAACCAAAACACCAGCAGTTCAAAAGCACAGGAGAAAGGTGTGGCCATCTGCTTCCTTGAAGATGGCAGTCCAGGAAACCCTCTGGACACTTCTGCTGTGTCCCATAGGGTCACTACGAGTCTGAACCAATTGGACAGGAATGGGGAGCCTCTAACTCGAGCCTGCTTAAGAGGGCGGTTGGGTGGGGGCTGGTGCCATTTCCCTGAGAAGGTTGCCGGGAAGATTCAGTGAGGGGAGGTATACAAACTATCCAGAACACGATGCCTGGCACCAAAACACTGGTTTACTTTTCCTGCAAAAGAGCCCAAGTGTGGAAAGAACTAGTGTTCCTCAGGTATCACTTTTCTTTGTGGTTGTTAAGTGCCATCAAGTCGGTTCCAACTCTTAGCAAGCTGTGTTCAACAAAAGGAAACCCTGTCCAACAGTACACCATCCTCACAATCGCGGCTCTGCGTCCGCTGTCAAGTCATGGAGTCAATCTCTCCTGAGGGTCATCCTCTCTTTCGCCGACCCACTACTTTGTAAGCTGGACGTCCTTTCCCAGGGACTGGTTTCTCCTGAGAGTGCACCCAAAGTAAGTGAGATGAAGCATCACCAGCTTAGCTTCTAAGAAGTGGGTATTTATCGACTCTATGGCTGTGGGTTTGGGTTTGTGAGTTTGGTTTTAGTTTTTCCACACCCAGCAGTTCTCAGTAAGAAAGTGACCAGATAGTATGGGCCCCAGGTCAGATTATCTTTAAAATAAAATTTTAAAAAAAACAACCCTTTGAAAATTCTTTATTTGCCAGAGTTTTCAAGCTTAGTTTGAAAACCATAATCCTCCACCCTTATTTGTAGGGTATCTCCATCTCACAAGTAATAGCTTATTAGACGCTCTGTTAAGCAGAGTGGATAAGGGCAGGGCTGGTCTGTGTGACTCTGGAACCAGCCTGCATCTCCCTTTCCTGGGTCTGAGGAGCACACATTTCAAAGACCTACCTTTCATCATAAACATGAAAACACAGGCCCAGAGCTTTGCTCAAGGTTCTGGAATCTGACCAAGGCTCAGACCCAAGGGCCCAGATTTTCTCCACTGCCCCACAGTCCCCTTCAGATTCAGGACCACAACCCTTGGCCTGAGACAAAAGGTTGGCATTTCTCACACATGACCATCCACCATCCACAAATTCTGCAAACAAATGTAATCTGCTTCTACTTGATAAAGGTCAAGTGGAAGGCTATTAATAATATCTGCCTTCCCTTATATGATAATATCAGCCTCAGAGAGACAACCCACCCAGAAAGGGAAACGATCCATTTCTGGAGCAAAGATAAGTCAGAGAACTACCTACCTTCCAGATTGTTCTAGTAGTGACTGATTGTTGTTATGTGCCTTCCAGTGAGAACTGACTCATACGCGCCCCTCTATCAGGTTTGCACAGGCAGTAAGTTGCACAGGAGGAGATGGCTCATCTTCCTCCTTCACAGAAGCTAGTGGACTTGACTCCACATGCCTTTGGGTTAACCCACTAGGCCACAAGAGCTCCCTAGTGGTAAGTGACTACTACTAGTTAATGAAGAAACTATTGGCAGAGATTATTCCTTGCCCATCCACAACCACCTTCTCCAGTTATAGAGCCCCAATTTTATTTAGTGTCCTCTGGAGCAGGGTCAAGTTGGTGCCTTCAGAGACCACTTCCAGGCCTTGAAATTAAAGGGAGCTGGTGAGTATGTTCAACTTGTAGTAATCACCTGGATCCATGGAAGTGGATGGAGGAAGCTTACAGAAGACAGGTGAAGCCTGTTCCTTTAGCTTAGCTAGCATGCATAGCTGTACGGATAAGTGAAAAAGGATTGTTGGCTTGAGAAGCAGGGAGTCATGAGGACCCCAGGCTTGCTGACGTGGCCCCATGTGAGGCGGAGTGAAGAGGCCAACCAGCCTGGAATGCAGGGAGAAGGGTGGACTCCTGAGTTTGCGGCTGATGCCCGTCTGGGCCTACAGGGATGAGCTGAGCAGAACCCAAGCAGCTGGAATGATGATGATCCATGCTGCAAACTCTACTTGTAGATTCAGCTTCGCAAAGTTTCCAAACTGAAGATTCTTTGGCAAAAGCGATATGCTTGTTACCTCAGAGTGCTAGTTTGATGGGGAGGGCAAATCACAAATTGACTGTCTAAACTGGGGCGATTGGATCTTAAAGCATAAGGTATGGAGTAGCTGGCTTACATGCTTTTGTGAATGCAAAAAATGAATGCAGGGGTGAAACCCCACAATATACGTGAATGAAATACAATGTAAATGAAAGATTGTATAAAACACAATGCCCATGCATGAAACACATAGCAATATGAATGTCTGTATGCAAGCCAATTTAAAAAAAAAAATAGAATAAACCTGTGGTTTCAGAATAAGCAGGTGAGTGATTCAGAATCACTTCCTTCACTGTATGTGACCAGGAGAGGGGCCCCTTCCTGACCTCTTCCAGGTTGCAGAACTCCTGGCGCAGTGCTCCCTTCAGGTCACAGCAGTCTCTGCAGTTTCTGATTGCCAGGAGACACTCCTTTGTCAAATACGGGACCTAACCAGAAGACAAGGATCTTAGTGGAGGGGACTGAGGGAAGGCCATGTGCCCTCTCTGTTTGAAGATGCTGTCACAGCTTTAAAACCCCAACATGATGAGCCAGAACCCTTGTATGGACTCCCGCCTCCCTCTGCAGGACACTAGTTTAGCTCCAATTCCAGGAATGCACATCTCATAGCACCCCAGTGAAACTAGGCATCTTCAAATGATTCTACAGTATGCCTTACTTGATCAGTTGCTTCACTGTTGCACCATCTTAGACAGGGCACTTAACCTCTCTAAGCATCAGTGTTCCCATCTGAAAAATGGGTACAATATTAGTACCCACCTCAAAGGGTATTTGTGAAGATGCAATGAGTTAACCTATGTAAAGACGGTAGGACTGTGCTTGGCCCATAAGTGCTCGATACGGCTCAGCAATTCCTGTCACTGAGTGGGTTTTATTCCTTTTCTTGTCAAAGGTAACTATCTTAAACTTTCTCCAATACTTTTCTTCCATTATCAACAGATGCCCCCTTTTCTCTACTCTACATTTCCTAGACACAAAGGACAATCCCCTTACATGAATAGCCACATGCATAACTTCAACATTTTTTTACTTCAAGTCTGAGAAGCACTTCCTCTAAAGCATCACTTTCCAAGTTCTTTCAAGTCACAACCATCTTATAACTATACCTCCTAGATTACAGATTTCACTATACCAAGTGCAGTGCACCTATCAGTTAAAACTTTAACCTTTAACATCAGGGATTATAAATCACTTTTTTATTCCACACCAGTTATCCTCCTGAGACATACATGGGTGGTAAGACAATTCTACCACTAATAACGTTCTTAAAATGGGTTGAAGTTCGGAAAAGAGAGACATATGTGAAATAAAATGTACACAGACTTTCAAAACAACACTTGGATGTACCTTACAGAATAGATCCAGTAACATCTTTTGGCGCGCTCTCTCGTAAGGGTCACATGGAAGCAGCTTCTTTCCGGGATAAGCCTCATCCAGGTACTCACAGATGATGACAGACTCATAGATGAGCTGACACTGGCTGTTCTCCAGAACGGGTATTTGGCCAAAGGGCTGCTTTGTATAGAACCAGTCAGGCTTGCATCTCAAATTAATGTTGACAACTTGGTATCTTGAAAAGGAGACAGAAGAAGATGAAAGCCTTGTGTAAGCAGATGCTCATCTTGAAAGCAGACGCAATCTAGTTATGGAATGTAAATTTGTACTTGGTTTTTAGAAAAGCCAAGGGGAAAAAAGGGGGGGAAGAAAATAAAAAGAAAAGCCAAGGAGTTCTGATGGCCTAGTGGCAAGAAGCTACACTGCAATCCTGGAGATTCGTGGTTCAAGGTCACCAGCACCTACTCAGTAGGCGAAAGATTGGCAATTTCTTCCATGTGATTAAGTGCCTCTGAAAACCAGCTGGAGGGTTGGCTATGGTTCAGTTCTGACTCTATGGTACACAACAACAACATGATTTAAAAAAAAAATGTATAAGGGGAGCTCTGGTGGCCTAGTGGCAAGGAGCTGCAACTACAATCCCAGAGGCAAACGGTTCGAATCCACCAGATGCTCTGCCGGGGAAGGAGGGACAATCTCCTCCTGTACCAGTCAGATCTGATTTGACGGTACACGCACACAAAAATAATAACATTTTTTTTAAAAAAACAAAAAAAATGTATAAAGAAAAATATATAACATCTGTGTCTTCATTCTGACAGTAAAATGTGTCCAGCACCTCATTTCATTTGTGCTATGGGTTATCCCCACATAAGGTAGGTTTCTCTTGTAGGAAATGAGGCTCTTGCAGGCTGACTCTCAGGTCCAAAGTCACCCACTGAATAGTAACAGAGCAATGTCAACAACCTGACTCAGAGCTCACAGATTCCACCATGCACTAAGGAGTTTAATGCATTTTAAATCCTGAAAGTAGACATCTGATTACATTTAACTGTTAAGAGCATGTGTCTGGCATCAGAGTTGGGTGTGGGTGCCCTTGGCAAATTCCCTAACATCTCTGTGTTCAGTTCCTTCACTGTAAGATGAGAGTAACAACAGTTTTCACCTCTTGTCATTGTAAAGATGGAATAAATGAATATGCTTAGGATAACATCTGTTGTTGCTGCTGCTGCGTGTTATCAAGTCGGAGCTGACTCACAGCTGATCTTCCAGCAAGTTTTCAGAGGCTGTAAATCATCCTGGAGGAGATGGCTCATCTCTCTCCCTCCAGTTTCTCTTTAGAATCCAGCTCCTGGATTTGAGCCACATGCCTAAAAACCTCATTGCTGTTGAGTCTGAACCGGCTCCAGCTGCCCTGCTAGCCAGTTTTCCAAGACCTGTGAGTCACAGGAGAGGGGTTGCCAATCTTTCTCCCACTGGGCAGTCATGTGCCTTCAGGTTGGCAGCACAAATCCCACCCACGAAGCCACCAGGGCCCTCCTACAGGGTGTATATCTTAACAGAATAAGAACTCCGAGCTCTGGTGGCCCAGTGGCAAGAAGATGCAGTGCAATCCCAGAGGCATGCGGTTGGAATCCACCAGATGCTCTGGTGGAGAAGGAGGGGCAATCTCCTCCTGTACCTGTCAGATCCGATTTCATGGTACACACACACACAGAGAGAGAGAGAGAAGAAGAAGAAGAAGAATAAAGTAACTGCAACAAGAACAGATATATGCATACCAATATTTATTGCAGCGCTATATATAATAGCAAAGAGTTGGAAACAACCCAAGTGTCCATCATCCTAGAAATGGATAAAGAAACCACTACATTCACATTGGCGTATTATGCAGCACTATAAAACCATGACCAATTTGTGAAATACTGCACGACATGGATGACACTAGACAAATTATGCTGGGCGACATCAATCAGTCACAAAAAGGTCAATTACGGTATAATAAGTCCACTAATAGAAAAAGCTAAGAAATACCTTATACACAGAATAAAATCCACGTTTGAAGGTTGAAGAGGTGAGACAGAAGGGAGGGTGAGCAACATACAGAAATAAAAATCTGTGCAATTCACTCCCAGCCCCCAACACATGCCCGGCTGCAGCTTCTCACCTGATTCCTTTGGCCTGGAGGACAAGGCGTGTTCTGTGTGAGTAGGGGCAGAATCTCATACTGTAGACGCGGATTAAGCCCTCTGGGACTGGTCCTGGGGGCAGGCATCCTGCAAGACAAGATAGGTTAGCTTGGTGGGGAAAAGAGCTCACTCACTTTCCAGGGAGCCTCAGGACAACTGGGATTTTATCCTGAATACCAGAGAGTACAGTCCCAGAGAGTACTTTGTAGGGTTCTGGCATGTGACTTCTATGCAGGGGAACCCTCAGAGGCTCTTCTCTTCCCTCTACCCCTCTGGTCTGGGGACCAAGGCCTGGCAACCTCCCAGATCAACATCCCAGCCACAATGTACCCCCAGCTGGCGGGGTGGTGGTGGTGGTGTGTGCATAGCACTCACCATTCCTGAGGGCCTTGGTGGCATTGGACAAAGCATCAGTAGCCAACAACATGGGTTCCAACTCTTAGCAGGATACCACCTGCTCCAAGGTGACTTCCTGAGTGACCGAACCCTGGGGGAGTAGAGGCAGAAATGATCTGGGCAGGAACTTGTATACCCACCTGGTGAGACATTGCCCCAGGCATAGAAGCAGAAGGATAGGGGGTACATAAAAAACCCCTAAATAGTGCACCCCTTGCTTTGGACACGTGTGTATAGTGTTTGGTTGACCCTCTTCTCTAAATGGGGAACATGTGAAGAATGGGCACTTCACCTAGCAAGCAGTTCAATGAAAATCGCTTAGGAAAGTCTATTGCTGTCAAGTTGATTCCGACTCAGGACTATCAGATACATCACCAAGATCCTCACAGAGTTTCCTCGGCTGTAATCTTTCCTCAAGAAGATCACCAGGCCTTTCCTCCACCATGTCTCTCAGTGGGGTCAGTCAACTTTTGAGTTTGTAGTGAAACACAAACTGCCCACCCAGAGAGCCTCCATAGATTACAAGGGAGTTTAATAAATAGGAAACTCTGGTGGCATAATTCAGAGATAATTGCACTGCTAACTCAAAGGCCTCGTCTCTCTGTGGGTTCGAATCCACCAGTGGCTCCAAGGGGAAAAGATGGGTCGATTCCTGCCATGTAATTTACAGCCTCAGAAACCACTGGAAGGGCAACTATGAGTCGCTTTCTCTTCAACAGCAAAGAGAGTGAGTTGAAGAAAAATGAGCCAGAAAACACTGACTTTTCCTTTCTGATGCTAAACCTGTAAGTCATCACTAAGAGAACTGGTTTCACCTTCTGTATAAATGAGTTGTTGCTGCTGCTGCTGTTGTTATCTGATGTCGAGTCACCTGTGACTCTATGTACAATAGCTCTGAAACCTGCCTTGCTCTGAGCCATTCTCACTGACTCCAACTCACCTACCCCACTGTCCCAGTTACTGTATCAATCCATCTCATCCAGGAGCTTCCCCTCCTGCACTCTCCCTCCACCTGTCTGAGCATGATGGCCTTCTTCAAGGGCCTGTCCCTCCTGGCCATGTGCCAAAATTTCCTTATTCTAGTAAGACCAAACTTTCTCAGGAGCAGGGTTCAGAACTGTCCTACATAGGGTTGCTATGAGCCGCAAGCAACTTGACAGCACATAGCAACAACAAACAACAAAACAGGGCCTCCATATGAAATAGCCTGATAACCCAATTACAAAATGGGCAAAAGACATGGAAAGACCTTTCACAGAGAAGACACTCAGACGGCCAACTCAAAAAACACTGGCAATAAGAGAGATGCAAATCAAAACCACAATACCCTCTTACTACAGTAGCAGTGGCAAAGTTTAACAGGACAGCAAGCAATAAATGTTAGAGAGGGTGTGGAGAGAGTATAACTTTCATACACTGTTGGTGGGATTATAAAATGGGATAGCCACTGTGAAAGGCAGTTCGGCATTTCCTTAAAAAGCTGAACGTAGAGATTCGATATGACCTAGCTATTCCACTGCTAGGAATAGAACTCAGATACTAACAGAGGTTTGTACACCAATGTTCACAGCAGCATTTTTCATGGTATCTAGAACATGGAAACAGCCCAAATGTTCACCAACAAATTACTGGGTTGAGAAATTGTGGTCCATTCACACATGGACTATTGTGCAGCACTCAGAAACTATGGTTTTGAAAAATACTATATAACATGGGTGAGGCTAGAGAGCATTATGCTGAGTCAACTAACTCAAGTGCATAAGAACAAATACTGTACAAGTCCACTGCAGAAACAGAAAGATAATCTGTGAGATGTGTATGAATATACAAAGAGGGAAAGGGGGCTGAGGGTGGGGAAGGGACGAAATCATGGGGTTGAAGCATTTGGTGGGTGGATGGAGTGAAAAAACCAACCAGACAACTTATATGAATGAAACACAATTTAAAAAAATATATAATAGTATAGCTGTGTCTCATCCAGGAACCCTAGTGGCAAAGTGATTGGTTGCTAACCCGCCAGGTTCTGCAGGAAAGGGGCAGGGCAGGCTGCCTCTGTAAAGATTTACAGCCCAATGGGGCAGTTCTACTCTGTCCTACAAGGACACAACTAGTAGAAATCTACCAGAAAGGGATAGGTAGTTGCACATTCCACCGCACTATACTCCTTATGCAAAGTCAAACCCTGAAATGCAAATAAACTTGGTGAAACTAGGAATAAAAATCAGAGCAGTCCTATGGAAACAGTTCTTCCTGAAAAGGAAGCACTATAGTGTTATGTTCCTCACTGTGAACTGTGGGCCTGATGGGCTGACTTTCAAGCATGATTTTGGTGCTCAGGCAAGCTATTTCACCCCTTTCCATTTCCACCTCCTCACCTGCAAAGTGAGAACAGGAGTAGTAGTACTCATAGGGACCTCTGGTGGCCTAGTGCTAAGGATTCAAGCTGCCAACCGAAAGACATTCCGTTTGAATCCAACAGCCGCTCCTTGGGAGAAAGATGGGCAATCTCCTCCGCTGTGATTTTACTGCCTCTGAAAACCCACTGAAGGGTCAGTTATAATCAGTTCCAACTCAACAGCAATGAACTTTGGATTTGAATACTAAGTAGGACTTATTTAATAGCTTTGTTAGTCTTATGGAATGAAATCAAACTGGACAGCATCAGTATAACAAGACCTCCATGTGCTTTGAAATTAATAGCAAACAATAGAGAATAAGGACACATTTTTAACAACATAGCACATTCCAATTTTGTATCCATTACAATGAAATACAGTGCAATTCAGTTTTACCAAGCATATTAGAATTAAAATCAATTCACACCACTTATTTTGCCAGTTTAATGTCAATTGAATGCTGCAGGCTACATTCAGTAATGCAGGTTTTTAATCTTACACTGAACAATAGTTTCCCTGGAAAGATTTTAATTATGACCTTTCTGCTTATTCTTACTTCCTTTTTAAGATCCACTAAGTACCTCTACAAATGATTTTTTTTTCAAATTTTCCTTATGCTATTATGTTGTTTACACCTCTATTATAGTGACTCACTCAAGCAAGAAACAGTAATAAAGCTGTATTAAGCTTTTTTTGAATTGGTTTCCAGCCACCTGAAATATAATCTGGTCTGTTTTGAAAATGTTAGGCTCATTGGTCATGGGTGATTAATTACTTAAGCCTTCTAGGAAAAAAAAATGTCAACACAGAAATTATTTCTTCACTTCTTTTTCATAGGTCTGAGAGAGAGAGAGGAAGTAATGCAAATTTTAAAAATTCTGTAAGAGGCCATTCTGATAGTGGAACAAATCTAATATATTTAAAAGATTATATGATTAGGTATGCCACTGTTCACCATGTGGAAGAGGGTGAGATAAGTGAGAGGGAAAAGACTCTATTCTCAACTATGCATAGATTCAGGATTTGTTTCCACTAAGTGAGAATCATGAAAGAACCATGTGTCCTAATGAAAACATCTTTGGAAAATATTAAACCAGATTATTCTAGTTGTCAGGAGAGGAACGTCTTTCCAGCTAGGGAAAGAAGGATCAAAGGAGGATTTATTTTAAGTAGTTGATTCTGGTTTCCTAGCCCTACTTTTGTTTACAATTGAGTAATCGGGGGGGGGGGGATTACATTTTGACATCACATTTGAATAGAGATAAACTTTTAAGATCCGTTAAAAAAATTCTGGAAAGTCAAAACACATTTAGATTAGGAAAAGGATATCATTATAGCCTATTAAATCTCTGGCATAACAGTGTAAGTAAAAAACAAGAGACATTCTTTTCTTCCTGGTTCAACCTTTAAATGATAAGAGTCGGTGTAATAAGGGCAGAAGTGTATGTAATCTCTTAAAAGTAATCTTGATGAACAACCTATGAGATCAAATTGAAAAATTAGAGAAGAATCTTAGGGAACAAGGGAGTTTATGTTACTTACTGGTTGTAGAACACTTAGGAAAAAGAGGATGAAAATAGCTGCACACCTTGAGATTACAAGAGTAGTATTTCTGAGTGAAAGGTAATTTAGCATTAAGAGTCCAATCTTCTGGGTGACCAAATGCAAATTATCACTTTCTATGTCCTGCTGGTCCCATCTACAGGGGGTTAATAGTACCACTACATCATGTACTTTTAGTAAGATTAATTCAGATGCCGTTATGTTGTTGTTATGTGTCATCAAGTCACCTGTGACTCATAGTGACCCTATGTACAACAGCCCTAAACCCTGCTCTATTCTGTGCCAATCTTATCATCTCTGACAAACCTACCGCCATTACTAGCTAAGAAAAATTTCATACTAAGCATATGCCTTATTGACTATGCAAAGGTACTTGCCTGTGTGGATAATATTAAGTTATGGCTAACATGAAGAAGAAAGGGCATCCCAAAGCACTTACTTGTGCTCATGTGAAAGTTAAACCTAGGCCAAGAAGCTGCTGACTAAACAGAACAAGGGAACTCACTGATTTAAAATCAGGAAAAGTGGGCATCAGGGTTGTATCCTTTCTCCATACTTATTCAATCTATGTGATGAGAAAATCATTTGAGAAGCTAGACTACATGAAGGAGACTGTTGCATCACGATTGGAGGAAGATTCATCAACAATCTGCTTTATATAGCAGACACAACCTTGCTTGTTGAAAATGAAGAGAACTTGAAACACTTGCTGCAGAAGACT